CAGTTCGCTGCGCTACAGAATGTAGTGTAAGTGGAACATTTTAACATTACTATATTTTAACAGTTTGTTTCGTTTGTTCGACGTAAGGTAAAGCACCAGAATATGTGAAATACGTGACTGTAATAAACAAGTGACCTAAAAAGAATTACATGTGTTTGTATAAACAAGTTCTACATTCGTTTCGAAATACTTTCCCACGATTTATTTTTGTATTTTAGCAATGCTTACCTATTCATGTATGTGTGCAGTAGTATTCTGTTGCTGTCATTCAGAATTGCGAATTTCCTTGTATATTTTCAATTACTTTCTGTTACTTGAGAAATGTTGCTTTCAAGACATCGCAAGGAATACTGACATGTAAGACGCTGACGATTTCATAATCTACAAACATAGAAGTCGAAAATCATTAGCAAAACTTATTGAAGGTTATATTATAAATATGCAGAATTTTTTTTATTTCCATAACATAATCTAAATGCCATACCCAGGTAAAGGTCCCTAAACTAAGGATTACAAATTTTCCGACAGTCAGTTGGAGTCCCTTCTGAGATCTTAAAAGTAGAAGTATTACTTGACGACTCATAGAAGGCTGCATGTTGTACCAAGTCATTTGGTATGCCGCGTCAACAATCATTTCGTTCTAAAAAAAGGTAGAACAAATTTTGTATGGTCGTAAAAGTTTTCTCTATTGATTTCTACATTCGAGTTTGTATTTAAGTATTTAGTTTAATCAGTATAAATTTAATATACACCTTAACTCGGAGATATTCTCCAGCGAAGCAATATATGAAGATTTCTATACAAATTGCAACATAGGAAACGATAAACTTAATCAGTTGGGCAACATCACTTCCTTCCTTTAGTGTCTGAAATAAAAAAGTGTTTTTAGATGAAGTATTTTGTATACATATACATTGTGTTCCATATACATTCATAAAAAAAATATAAATAAATGTAGAGTAACTTTTTTTCGGTCGCTTCTTAATTTTTGAAAATATCGGTTTTAAAAATTCGTCGGTCGACGTACTGGGTGTACCGATTAAGCGTGAATGTCGCAATATCTCAGGAAGTGTTCAAGTTATGAAAAGAATGTTCTAACAAAAGCTTTTTGGTATGATGGACACATTGTCCGGCGTTAATATTTCTTTGTGGATGTGATATTACAATAATGGGTCTCGAAACGAATTCAACGATCTGCTATTTGGCAGCATTCCATGTAACAAATCATAAATTCAGTGGCAGTGCTTATCGTCCGCAGGGATGCCACGGAATCTGCCACAACACATGTGAAAACTTGATAGCTGATATTGAAAATTAGCATTTTTCTACTTTATTGTTCGTTACATGGAATGGCGTCAATCGGTGGAGTCTAATATCACAAAAAAATGGTCCTGTTTGAAAAAACTAACATGACCTTGAAGTCTCTTCTGCCACTCCACCTATAAAAAAAATATTAATACTAGGCAATGTGCCCCATCATACCAAATAGCTTCTATAAGAACATTTCTTTCATAACTTGAACCCTTACTGAGATATTCCATCGTTTACACTTAAACAGAGCATCCTGTATATCGCCTATCATATTTATAAACCATCTGTATTCGAGTTTCGTAAAATATATATATCGTAAAAACTTTGTTTTGTAAAGACGATAAATGATATACGTCACTCATCGGACCGTATCTTACAATTGACCGTAAGAGCGTATATACAAAGCAATTTTCCAAACTCGATTTCCTCGAAAACTAAGCCCCAAACAAATCAAAAATTATTCCATATTCTTTTTATATTATTTCAGGAGAAATAATATCTTCCATGGCTTCTGCACATCCCTCAGGGACATCCTGTATACTATTTAATATATAGCTGTATAATATAACAGTATTACTTACTATTATAATAAGATATCCTAGACAGCACAAACATATAGTGTTCGATATAAGTTGGGCGAAAGATATGTACGTAAACATCTGTTCAATTTGCTCCGAAAACGCGATGAGTTCATTATGTCTTTCGGTTACGATTCGAAATTGTTTCCCGTCTTTAGAAGACACGATGCTCGTCATTGCATTGCATAATATATCTATTTGACATCCCATGTGAAGTACCTAAAATATATCAAATCACAAAAAATATATTTTTAAGAATGTAACAAAAATCTTCCTGGAATTACGTATAATAGTACATGTAACGAAATTTTTTAAGTTCAAATTTCAGCTATGAGTCCACAAAAATATGTATTTTTAGAAAAATTCAGTAGTAATGATTGAAGAGGTGAAAACGATAAATGGGTTCGAGCATGGAAGAAAATCATCACAGTTCTTTTACGTATCTAAAATACTTATTTGCACTTACGGTGATCAAAAGAAGAGCGCTGAAAACACTGTACGCATATCCTGACATCATTATGCTCATAATTTGTACAGTCAGCACAAGTTCGTAATTCGGCGAATCAATAGTGTTGAAAGGCAAATCCATGTTCAAGAGAAGACGTCGAGGTAGCGCATCGTTCACCTGTGGGGTCGTTGCGAGAGTTGTGACTGCATAAAAAACTGTGGCTCCCACGTATATGATAATAACTCCCTTCGTTACACTTTGCGAAAGGTCCGCAGTTTTCGGTATAAGATTCTCTGAATCGGCTGCAGAATATTTTACACAATCTTCCTCCATTGACGTTAGAATGTCGTATATCACACTGCGAGATATCGTGATTAAAGCCACCAGTCGTTAATCAGAAATTACTGCTTTTGGATACGAAGTATCTTAAGGGACTACCTAAATAAGCAGGCACTAGCAATCTCCGTATACATCACCCTATTCTATTTCTCTCCAAGACAATGAAAATGGTACGACTTCTTTATTTCCTCTAATGACGATATTAAGCAGTGCAAATCTCGCAATTTGAATAGTTAACAATTTAAATGTCATCGAATGACATTATATACAATGACAGTATATATTGTTTTAAATCGATCCTACGAAAAATTTGCGCGGTAATTCGGCATGCAACGTGTAAATGCACGCACGTATGCAAAGTCTTTTTCATTATGCTAAGTGTCAAATGTCTTCACCTTTTTCTGTCATCTGCAGAAAATAATACGAACAACGAAATAACTTACCCACTGTTTATCGACGCAACTGTTAATTTAACAAACAACAAATTATACATAAAAATTAAAGTGAAACATTCGAACAATTGTGGGAGCCCTTCAGAAAGGAAGTGTGTAACCACATACATGGACTGGTAAAACAGAATCACAGCCGTAAACATGATATAGAAGGACTTTTGTAAATTCAGGAACGACGTACTAGGCACAGCACCGACGATATAAAGTCCATACTTAATCGATTGGTTAACTGTACTCCGAAACGTCATCCCGCACGAAAACTGTCACTTTATTATTTCTTAGTTGCCACGTTTCTTTGATTCCGCAAAGTCCATTATAGCCGATCGTTCGTATTTGTTAGTGACACACTCGGCAATGCTACCAATACGCCGAGCGACAGACAGCGAATTATGTCGGAAACAATGTGAAAACAGCTGCACGAAGCAAACACGCATGATATTCATAAATATTACAAATAATTTCGCGATGTTCACAAGATTGTCGAGAATAAAAAAAGACGGGGAGCAATGTCTAGCGATTACCATAAAAAATGCAGCAACAGACAGATAGGGAAGATCATGTTAAATTGATTTGATCAGAAGTCTCGTCGCATCGCGGTTTCGTATACGAAGGAAAAGCTATGAGATATAAAAATGTTTTTTCCTCGATGTCTCCTGAAATTGCAGCATTATTATGGTTCAAGAGAAGTTGAGATATTGGTTTCATTTCCCTCTGAGAAGAACCGAGGTAGCAAGTGGTCTTATTCTAAAGAGATTAGTGTTGGCAAGAAAGCAGTTCGGTTCGCTACAATGTATAAGGTAAATGGGACTTTCAAACATTATTATATTTCAACATTTTGTTTTGATACATTATCATTTGACTAGAGATAAAGCACCATGTGTCATTTAAAGAACGTATCTGTAATTAACAGGAGNAACATTCGAACAATTGTGGGAGCCCTTCAGAAAGGAAGTGTGTAACCACATACATGGACTGGTAAAACAGAATCACAGCCGTAAACATGATATAGAAGGACTTTTGTAAATTCAGGAACGACGTACTAGGCACAGCACCGACGATATAAAGTCCATACTTAATCGATTGGTTAACTGTACTCCGAAACGTCATCCCGCACGAAAACTGTCACTTTATTATTTCTTAGTTGCCACGTTTCTTTGATTCCGCAAAGTCCATTATAGCCGATCGTTCGTATTTGTTAGTGACACACTCGGCAATGCTACCAATACGCCGAGCGACAGACAGCGAATTATGTCGGAAACAATGTGAAAACAGCTGCACGAAGCAAACACGCATGATATTCATAAATATTACAAATAATTTCGCGATGTTCACAAGATTGTCGAGAATAAAAAAAGACGGGGAGCAATGTCTAGCGATTACCATAAAAAATGCAGCAACAGACAGATAGGGAAGATCATGTTAAATTGATTTGATCAGAAGTCTCGTCGCATCGCGGTTTCGTATACGAAGGAAAAGCTATGAGATATAAAAATGTTTTTTCCTCGATGTCTCCTGAAATTGCAGCATTATTATGGTTCAAGAGAAGTTGAGATATTGGTTTCATTTCCCTCTGAGAAGAACCGAGGTAGCAAGTGGTCTTATTCTAAAGAGATTAGTGTTGGCAAGAAAGCAGTTCGGTTCGCTACAATGTATAAGGTAAATGGGACTTTCAAACATTATTATATTTCAACATTTTGTTTTGATACATTATCATTTGACTAGAGATAAAGCACCATGTGTCATTTAAAGAACGTATCTGTAATTAACAGGAGACGTAAAGTGAACTATATCTATGTATGCAAACGTGAATAACATTCAATTCGTTTATTTATTTTTGTGTTCGTAGTGTTGCTTACCTATTCATGTGTTCAATGGTATACTAAAAGTATCATTTAAAATTGCTAATTCCTTTGTATTTTCTCAATTATTATACGCTACAGATGGAAAAATTGCAAGTCATTGGATTCAAGACACCGCAAGGAATACTGTCATGTAAGATGCCGACGATTTCACAATCTACGGACACAGAAGCTAGGAATCCTTATCGAATCTAATCGAAGGTCACTTTTATATCTTGGTTATTATCAGCATAAGAAGATTATTCGCAATTATCGACTAATTTTGACACAATTAAAATGTGGAAATCTCACCCAGGCGAAAGTAATCAAATTCAATTCTACGAACTTTCCCACAGTCAATTGGAATCCTTTCTGAGATCTTAAAAGTAAAAGTATCACTTGTCGTCTCAGAGTTGGCTGCAATTCGTACCAAGATATTTGATATGCTGCATCGGTGATCATCTCGTTCTAGAAAATGAAATAACATAGTTTTGTTCATCTGAAGTTCACACTGATTAAAACAATACAATAAATTAAAATCTCTCATAGATTTTTATTCATTTCAGATACACCGATGAAAGCGTATAATGAATACCAAATTTCTGATTAGAGTTTTTGTATAAGCTGTTTAAAATATGTTAACTATCCCCAGAAGTATTGAAAAAACGAAAAAATTTTTTATTTATTTCTGCACACAGTTTTTACTTTATTATTACTCAGGTATTATAGTTTGTACTAATTTGAAACATTTACCTTAACGTTGAGGTATTCACCGGCGAAACAATATATGAATATTTCCGTACACATTGTAATATAGCTAACAATAAACTTTATCTGTTGGAAAAACCCATATCCATTTTGCAGTGTCTGAAATGATAACATGCCTTTTAATAAAGTATCTTGTACGCTTATGTACAAGGTATTAAAATTATCTTAATTTTCCCTATTAAAAAGTTCAGTTAGCCTCAGCACAGTTCTCCTTGTATTTGTACTTTATATCAATTACTACGCATCAACATACAAATCGTGAAGACAACATTACTCACAGATATAACAAGATAGCCACCACAGCATAAACCCATAACGTTCGAAAACATTTGGACAAAACACATGAACGTAAAGAGTTCTTCAATTTGTTGCGAAAACTCGATGAGTTCTTGGTGTCTCATAGCAACGAATCGTAACTGTTTCACGTCATTTGAAGATACAATTTTTGTCATTGCATTACACAATACATCGATGTGACAACCCATGTGGAGTATCTAAAGTAATTAGAACACAGACAGATATTAATTAAAATATCAGGAAATTTTGAGGTTCTTTAAATTATCATTCCATCTCTACACAAAGAGTGTACCCAAATTACTGAATTACTCATAGGCCTGGAGAGCACACCACGAGGAAATTTTAACAGATTATTGATAATCTTCTTATTTTGAATTGCGTGCGTGGAGTGTCAAGTATCGAATCAGCCCATCGAATGGGCTCCAGTGGCTGCACGTAACGGAAGAACGTCTATTTTACGTAATATTGGTTAACCCGTCCACGAGTTAAACGAAGAGACGGGCCAGGTAACTCGGAGACGATCGGGACGCCAAAAGCCCTCTTGTTTTCGGGATTCCGCAGTCTTTCTATCGCCTCACTCTATACCAGGAGCGGTTTTACATGCGTAGTGTGGCGGTATTATTCTTTGTTTCAGTCGCCAAGGCGATATTAGAACGGTCTGAAGCCAGGCACCATTTACGGGATGATCCTTCGCGTTTGTATTACGTGCGCGGAGCAAACCCATTAGACTAAACCATAGTAATGGGTAGGGTGGGATACGTACCGGATCACCGTATGATCGCGAAAAATTCTCATTTTGTCAATCTTGTGCTGCGAACGATGAACCATCGCGATAATTGTATAAGAGCACGGGCTCTTGGATGCAGCGTCGTGACCAACTATTTTGTACTATTGCGAGATCCGCTCTGCCGTGATGGCTGCCCTTCGTTATTCCCTTGTTCGAACCTTGAAACCCTATTGCGTTCGTTCTATTTTGCGAAAGTAGGGGTTTCAGTTGGAAACGATGCCTGGCGCGCAAACAAATCTTGTCGTGTTCTGCGCCGACTTCTCGAACACAACGTTTTGTGCTAGATGGACCACATTCGTACGGCTGTGCGTGGCCCGGATCAAGAACCTTAAAATCCTGGAATCGCTTCTGTCCGTGTTTTACAATCCGCGGAAAAGGGGCGACGTCACAAGTAATTACAAAAGCACTTTAATGTTTCCAATTCTTTCCTCTTCCTTGAAAGAAGTGGCGAAAAGAAAATCGAGACAGTTTTCGAGACAGTTTCTGTTCGACTACTTATTTAGACGTTTAAGCGTTTAATGATTTAAGCAAACTGGAGATTTCAGACAGTTATTGGTCGAAAGTGTCAAAAATTGGGACAAAAGTGCGATGTTCGCAATCAATTTCTATGAAATTTTCAGCATACATATAACTTACCGGAATCTACAAAACATATATTTTAAATCAAAGGGTGTCCGAATACATTTGTCCGATATCACATATATTACTAGTATTATCTTCTCATTAACCGTTTGTGAATTCCAGGAGGCATTGAAAAAACACGGTCGAAAAATTGCCGTACAGCGCGATAGTGCTTTTCTTAATATGCGTACTATTAGTTTATAATATATACTTATATATATATTTCAAGTTTTGTTCAAAGAAAATTATTCATATGATAACAATTAAATTCAAAATGTGTTAGTTGTATTATTTACATCTAAAAAAGCAGCAATGCGATGTACGTGCGTCAGTAAATTTGAACACGCTACTTCGACAGTCTGTGTGTGCACCGTCAGTTGTCCATAGCGTTCAAATATTCTCGAATTTTTCGACACAAAATCTAAACAACAGATATGAACATTTCATCTTGTCCGTTGCTTTCTTGTGACTATTTACATTTTAACTTTACTTTATGAACTAGTTGATAGTTCGCATATATAGCCCCCGTGATGACAAAATGTAATGCAATACGTAATGCAATACAATGTAATAACGTGGTATTAAAGATTATATAAACCTCCTTACTAAATAGATAGTAATATAAATGCAGATAGCATTATAAATAAGTGAAAAATAAAAATCTGTCTTGTTCCTATTTCTTGCAATTTTCTGCAAATCGGGGTAAGAACAAGCAAATGTCTCTATAGCCACTATGAAATTCTTGTAGAGTCCTGAACAAGAATCCGAAAACCGAATTGCTTCATCACCCTCAGTTTTTTAAATAAACGAACTTTTGTAAAAACCCAAAATTTTCGACAAAAATGAGGTATTGCATGAAAAATACAAACGTTAGAAAGTTCTAATTAGTGTTAAAAGATAGAGGAGAGTTTCCCGAATATAGTGGCATGCAATGTATTAATTGTTTTTGGTCCTAAATATCAATAAATTAATGTCAAAGTTTAAAAAAGTGTCGACGTGCGCAGTTTCTCCGCAATATTTTTGTATTTTTACGAAAAGTTCTTTGTTCAGCACGAAAACTCTGCCCAGGATCGGATTCTGTAGACATTTCTGAAGAAGAAACGGCCCGATAGAAGTATCAGAACGATGTACATTTTGAGTAGGTCGAGAAAATGTTCGTTAGCAACATGTACAGGATGTTTTGCCGCCATGTGCTTCGCTGCTCGCTTCTCTCTGTCCGACAGGGCCGCAGCTATGGGTAATCAACACCGATGGAGGGATTCAATGGGGCACTCACTTAGCATATTGGGCGTGCCATTTTTTCTAGTACTTCAGTGTGCTGTCTTCTTTTACATATTTTTATGGATAATAATCACCAAACTGTGAATCATAAATTAAAAAAGGAGAAATAATAAAAGAAAAATAATGAACAAAAAATATTCATTTTATTCTGAATTTGTTCGAATTACAAGTATATCATGTATACAGTTATCATTTAAATTATAACGATAATACGATCATGAATAAATAATCATTTTCAAAACGTTAAACTTCTTGAAACATATCGTTAAATATATATTTAAATATTTATTTAATTATATGGCGTAGAAGTCAAAATTATACTAGTGTTAGAATACTTTCGTTACCAACTCCAAATACTCTGGTGTGATTTTTTGTGTGAAATATATCACAGTTTGGTGATTATTATCCACAGAAATATGTAAAAAAAAAACAGAACATTGAAGTACTAAAAAAAATTCAAATATTATTTACGAAAAGTGGGTGCCCCATTGGATCCCTCCATCGGTGTTGATAACGCGTAGCTTCGACACTGTCGGACAGAGAGAAGCGAGCAGCGAAGCACATGGCGGCAAAACATCGTGTACATGTTGCCAACGAACATTTTATCGACCTACTCAAAATATACATCATTCTGACACTTCTATCGGGCTGTTTCTTCTTCAGAAATGTCTACAGAATCCAATCCTAGGTAGAGTTTTCGTGCTGAACAAAGAACTTTTCGTAAAAATACAAAAATATTGCGGAGAAACTGCGCACGTCGACACTTTTTTAAACTTTGACATCAATTCATTGCTATTTAGGACCAAAAACAATTAATAAATTGCATGCCACTATATTCGGAAAACTCTCCTCTATCTTTTAACACTAATTAGAACTTTCTGACGTTTGTACTTTTCATGCAATACCTCATTTTTGTCGAAAATTTTGGGTTTTTACAAAAGTTCGTTTATTTAAAAAACTGAGGGTGATGGAGCAATTCGGTTTTCGGATTCTTGTTCAGGGAGTGAAGCTCTACAAGAATTTCATAGTGGCTATAGGAACCCAAAAATCGTGTCGAACAGTGTAATCATTTACACTTACCAGCATTAAAAGAAGACCGCTAAAAATACCGTAGCCATATGCAACCATCCATACGCTTATCAGTTGTAGAATCACCACAATTTCATAATTCGGCGAATCGATGGTGTTGAACGGCAAATCCATTTCCAAGAAAAAACGACGAGGTAGCGTATCGTTTGTCTGTGCGAACGCTATAGTTGTGACTGCATAAAAACTCCCGTCTATTATGTACAGGATAACAATTGTTTTTATAACACCCTGCAAAAAGTCTGCCGTTTTCGGAATAACATTTTCCGAATCGGCTCCAGAATATTTTACACAATCTTCCTCCATTGACGTTAGAATGTCGTGTATCAAACTACGAGATATCGTGATTAATGCCGCCAGTCGTCCAGGATGAAACTAAGTCGTCCATTAGTTTCAATCATAAATGACTGCGTTTAGATACATATTATCTGAAGAAATCAATCATATAAACAAAAATTAGCAATGCCAGAATGCATTGCCCCGTTCTTTATATCAAGTTAAATATTTCATTCCGAGCCAACAAAAATTGTGCGTCTTCCTTGTCTCTAAGAATGAATGTCAATAAGAAGAGTTTTGGAATTCAAACCAGTGATATCTTGAATCTGGTGCAAAAGAAGTGCGCAAGCAAAATTTGAATGTCATTTAATGATTAACTTTCATAACCAGTTGACTAAAAAATGTGTATGCTCTTTCTTGTCAGTAGGCTATATATTTTCTTAAAACGTTACTTCAAAAATTCAAAAACTGTAGCAAATACACTTACATAAAGACTCATTCATTATTTGAACAAGAAAAACATTTGTACCCAAATCTATCGTCTATAGAAAATAATACCGGCAACGAAGTGACTTACCCACTATTCAGCGACGCAACAATTAACTTAATGAAGAACAAATTATAAACAAAAATTAAAACAAAACAGTCAAACAATTTTACTAGTCCTTCCGAGTGGAAGTGTGTAATCACGTACAAGGACTGGTAAAACAGGGCCATTGCCATTGATATGATCCAAAAGAACTTCTGTACACTCAGAAACGGTGTACTAGGCAAAACCCCAGTGATATAAAGTCCATACTTAATGGTTTGATTAACTGTACTCCGAACCGTCATCTTGAACGAAATTTATATTCACGTGTTTTATTTTTTAGTTGCCACTTTTCTTCGACTCCGCAAAGTCCATTATGACCAAACGTTCGCGTTTGTCAGTGACACACTCGGTAATGCTTCCTGATCGTCGAACGACAGACTGCAAACTGTGCCGAAAACAATGTGAAAACAGCAGCACGAAGCTTACACGCATGATCTTCGTAAATATTTCAAATTATTCCGCGATGATTACGGGTTTGCCGAGAACAGGAAAAGACGGGGGAGGATTGCTTGAGGTTGCGTCATTGCTTGGCTACACTTTGGCCACACGAGCCCCATAAAAAATGCAGCAGCAGAAAGACGATGTACGACAGGCAAGATCATATTAAATTGATTTGGCATTACGCTTCGAATCGAACTTTTGAATCCGAGGAAAAAACTTTAAAAAATAAAAAAATTGCTTCCTCGATGTTTCAAGAAATTGCAGCGTGATCATAGTTCAAGGAAAGTTGAAATATTGACCCATGTCAGAGAAACAAAATAGCAAATGATTTTATTCTGTTGACAAGAAAACAGTTCGCTGCGCTACAGAATATAGTATAGGTGGATCTTTCGAACATCATTATATTTGAACATTTCGTTTCGATACATTAACATTCGACAGAAGGTAAAGCACCAGAACATGTGAAGTACGTGACTATAATGAACAAGTAACCTATATAAAAGAAATTACATGTGTTTGTATGAACAAGTTCTACATTCGTTTCGAAATACTTTTCCACAATTTATTTAGCAGTTCTTACCTATTTATGTGTTCAGCGGTATTCTGTTGGTGTCACTCAGAACTGCGAATTTTCTTGTATTTTCTAAATTACTATCCGTTACAGATGGTTAATTTGGGAGATGTTGCTTTTAAGACATCGCAAGGAATACAGACATGTAAGACGCCGACGATTTCATAATCTACGAACGTAGAAGTCGAAAATCATTAGCAAAACTAATTGAAGGTTATTTTATAAATATGCAGAATTTTATTTCCATAATATATAATGTAGATACCATACCCAGGTGAAGGTCTCTAAGCTAAGATTTGAAAATTTTCCGACAGTTAACTGGAGTCCTTTCTGAGATCGTAAAAGTATAAGTATTACTTGACGACTCATAGAAGGCTGCATGTTGTACCAAGTCATTTGATAGGCCGCGTCAACAATCATTTCGTTCTAAAAAAAGGTATAACAATATTTTAAGATTGTGAAAGTTTTCTATTGATTTCTGCATTCAAGTTTTTTTTTAGGTATTTAGCTTAATTAGTATAAACTTAAAACATACCTTAACGCGTAGGTATTCTCCAGCGAAACAACATGTGAAGATTTCTATACAAATGACAACATAGCAAACGATAAACTTGATCAGTTGGGCAACATTGCTTCCTTTCTCTAGTGACTGAAATAAAAAAGTATTTTTAGATAAAGTATCTTGTACACGCATGCAGGGTGTACCCAACCAAGTGATTACTCATTAAAAAAATATAAATAAATGCTTTTTAGAATGATGGGACACATTGTCTAGCGTTAATATTTATTGGTGGGTGGAATCGTAGAGGAAATTTTAAGGTCCTGTTAATTTTTTAAAATAATATGTTTAAAACCATATGTTTTTTGTGATATTATAATAGTAGGTATCGAGACGAATTCAACGATTTGCTATTTGACGCCATTCCATATAACAAATCATAAATTCAGTAGTAATGCGTATCGTTCGCAGGGATGTCAGGGAATTTGCCACAACTCACGTGAAAAATATGATAGATGATAATGAAAATTAGCATCGTTCTACTTTATGATTTATTACATGGAATGGTGTCCAATAGCAGATCGTTGGATTCGCCTGGAGACCCATTATTATAATATCACAAAAACATATGGTCCTATTTAAAAAAATTAAAAAATGTGGCCTTAAAATCTCCTCTACCATACCATCCACAAAGAAATATTAACGCCAGACAATGCGTATATACAAAGCAAGTTTCCAAACTTGATTCCCGCGAAAACTAAGCCCCAAACGAAAAAAAATTATTCCGTATTTTTTTTATATTATTTCAGGAGAAATCATCTAGAGCATATCATCCATGGCTTCTGCATATCCCGCAGGGGCATCCTGTATATTATTTAATATATACCTGTATAAAATATAACAGTATTACTTACTATTATAATAAGATATCCTAGACAGCACAAACATATAGTGTTCGATATAAGTTGGGCGAAAGATATGTACGTAAACATCCGTTCAATTTGCTCCGAAAACACGATGAGTTCTTTATGTCTTTCGGTCACGACCCGAAATTGTTTCTTGTCTTTAGAAGACACGATACCCGTCATTGCATTGCACAATATATCTATCTGACATCCCATGTGAAGTACCTAAAATATGTCAAATCACAAAACTATATTTTTAAGAATGTAACAAAAATCTTCCTGGAATTACGAATATAGTTTCTAATTTCTAATTTCGGCAGTGAGTCCACAAAAATACGTATTTTCTGAAAAATTCAATAGTAATGATCTTATGGATTCGAACATGATTGAAAATCATCAGCGTTCTCTTAGGTAACTAAAATAATTATTTACACTTACTGTGATCAAAAGGAGAGCGCTGAAAACACTGTAGGCATATGATGTCATCATTATGCTCATAATTTGTACAGTCAGCACAAGTTCGTAATTCGGTGAGTCGATGGTGTTGAAAGGCAAATCCATGTTCAAAAGAAGACGTCGAGGTAGCGCATCGTTCACCTGTGGGGTCGTCGCTAGAGTTGCGACTGTATAAAAAGTTGTGGCTCCCACGTATATAATAATAACTGCTTTCGTTAAACTTTGTGAAAAGTCCGCAGTTTTCGGTATAAGATTCTCTGAATCGGCTGCAGAATATTTTACACAATCTTCCTCCATTGACGTTAGAATGTCGTATATCACACTGCGAGATATCGTGATTAAAGCCACCAGTCGTTAATCAGAAATTACTGCTTTTGGATACGAAGTATCTTAAGGGACTACCTAAATAAGCAAGCACTAGCAATCCCAATATACATCGCCCTATTCTACATCGAATTCGATATTTCTTTCCAAGACAATGAAAATGGTGCGACTTCTTTATTTCCTCTAATGACGATATTAAGCAGGGCGAATCTCGCAATTTGAACAGTTAACAATTTAAATGTCATCGAATGATCGTCTTTTAAACGGCTTCACTTTTTTATACAATCATACGTATATATTGTTTTAAATCGATCCTACGAAAAATCTGCGCGGTAATTCGGCATGCAACGTGTAAATGCACGCACGTATGCAAAGTCTTTTTCATTATGCTAAGTGTCAAATGTCTTCACCCTTTTCTGTCATCTGCAGAAAATAATACGAACAACGAAATAACTTACCCACTGTTCATCGACGCAACTGTTAATTTAACAAACAACAAATTATACGTAAAAATTAAAGTGAAACAGTCGAACAATTGTGGGAGTCCTTCAGAAAGGAAATGTGTAATCACGTACATAGTCTGATAAAAGAGGCATACAGCCGTAAACATGATATAGAAGGTCTTTTGTAAATTCAGAAACGAGTTACTAGGCAAAGCACCAACGATATGAAGTCCATACTTAATTGACTGATTAACTGTACTCCGAAATGTCATCCCGCACGAAAATATTCACGGTTTTATATGTAGTTGCCACTTTCCTTCGACTCCGCAATATCCATTTTGACCGAACGTGAGCCTTTGTCGGTGGCACACTCCGTAATGCTTCCTGTACTTCGAACGATAGACTGGGAACTTTGTTGAAAACATGTAAAAATGCTGCCTGAAGACACACGCACAGTCTTCATAAATATTCAAAATAATGCCGCGATGATTGCGGGTTTCCCGGGAAGAGGACGAGACGTGGAACGATTTGTTGGGGTTGCAGTATCTATCTGCTTGCTTGCACTGACCGACAGTTTTGCATAAAAAATGTAACAGCAGACAGACTGCGAGCAAGATCATGTTAAATTGATTTAATTGTAAGCTGTGTCGAATTGAAGTTACGGACTTGAAGAAAGAAAAACTTCTAGATGTAATAATGTCTTTTCTCGGAAGTCCCATAAAATTTTAACGTTATTATAGATCAAGAGAAGTTTGGATATTGATTTTATTTCCCTCTCCGAGCGGTGACATAGCAGATGTTTTTATTCCATAGAAAGATGTGTTGGCGAGAATTCAGCTTACATTGGTACAAAGCACATGTGAGTTGAATTTTCAAATATTCGTATATTTGAATTCTTCATTTTTATACATTAACATCTGGCTAAAGGTACAGCACCATAATATGTGAAGTAAGCGCCTGTAACGAACATAAATCCTAAAAACAATTATTGTGTCAGTTCACACAAATATGTTATAATTTTGATTCATTATATTTCTTGCTGATATCTTATTATATGTTAGTGGTGTTCACCTTCTTATGTGGCCTGCGGTGTTTATTAACTTGTAATTTCTCTATTTTACTTTTGTCTTTCAAGACATTGCAAGAAATACTGACATATAAGACGCTGACGCTTTCATAATCTACGATCATATAACACAACATCACTTGTTAAGTTGAAGGTTAGTTTACAAATACCGCGAATTTTGTATGCTTACAAATTATTCGCAATCAACGATCAATACTGACGTGAAAAAAAGTATTCGAACACATTTTAAAACGGCACAACTTTTTCAAAATTGGACTAGACAATTTGAATTTTTTGGATATGCTAGTGAGACTGGTTTACTGTACAATGACTAAAATACTTTTTTGAAAATTCTGTTGTTACTTTGGAAGAACAAGGAGGTAAGAAACTATCATTTTTTCAACTTTTTTATCCGAGCCTGTAACGAAAATTTAACAAATGCATTACGTAGGATCGATATCAGTGTCGAAATCGGTTAAAGCAGAGTCAAGCTGTAGGCCTTGAACGATGTCAACACCTCACATCTCCAAAAAATTCATATCATTTAGTCCGGTTTTGAAAAAGTTATATAGTTTTAAAAGATGCCCGAATACTTTTTTTATATCCACTGCAAGCGAAATTGAAAAACCTCACCCAGGTGAAGGTTTCGAAACTAAGGGTTGAAAATTTTCCAAAAGTCAGTCGCAAGCCTTTCTGAGATCTTACAAGTAAAAGTACAACTTGTCGACTCGTAGAAGGCTGCAAGTTATACCAAGTCATTTGGTATATTGCATCAACAATCATGTCATTCTAGAGAACGAAAGAGACTTTAATAACAAACTACGATGAAATTTGCTTCTTGCAGAATGAATTTTTTCATGAAATAAAAAATATCTGACTTCAATTTAAACTTATGAAAATCAGTTTGCAATAATCAGATACAAGATGCAGCTATATCAGAAGGAAATACATTCCCAGACAGCATATATCTTAAAGACGTCCATGGTTGTCAATGGACATTTTATGTCCATTGTAGGAAATTTGGTATGTCTTTAAAACGTTCATAACACGTTTTTATGCTATCTGGGTTGTAGTAAAAAATTTTCTAGGCCAGACTGACATATAAGTAACATCCAATATTTTACTACATACAATTTTGTTTATCTCAATTTAAAGTTATGTACCTTATTGTTCAGATATTCCCCAGCAAAACAATACGTAAATATTTCTATGCAGATTGCAATATAGCCAAAACCGGCCTTAAACAATTCCGGTAATGCATTTTCGTCATGCAATGACTGTGAGAACAAATTATTCTTAGATAAAATAGGTTCACAATGTCTCATGTACACGTCAAATTATCTCGTGTGTCTAATCCAAACGAAATCAACATTACTTACTGTTACAGTAATGTATCCTAAACAACATGAAACTGCAGTGTTTGTCAGAAGCTGGGCGAAGGATATATAGGTAAAAATTTTTTCAATTTGCTCTGAAAAGTCAATGATTTCTTGATGCCTCGTAGTAACGAATCGGAATTGTTCCTCGTCTTTAAAAGATGCTATATCCGTTATTATATTGCACAGCACATCGACGTGACATCCTGTGTGAATTATCTAAAAGAATCGTACCATCGTTAGAAAATGTTGATGTGATTATCATAATACGTAACTACTAATAAGTAAGTAGTTTTAATGTATAACTAATGTCTAAAATGAAAAATTGCTTTAATCCCTAAGTAATGTCTAAAATAAATTATTTTTAATATCTAAAATGAGATTGATCATTGCTAAAATAAAATTTGTATTTGTTTCTTTGCAATTGTATTAATGTCCAAAAAATCGTATTAATTAATTTCGTATATAAGTAATTATAATTTTACACAAAATTAAGGAACGCATAATTTTTCATTATTGTTTTCAAACCTAAAGAAAGAATAAATCGTGTACGCAATAATGAATAATCCGCAGTCCTAGTAGCACAATCACATAATTAAGTTCTTATAATTAAAATACGAATGATCTATAGGGTAAATTCTCTCCAATTGTCTCTGAATTTGTAAACAGAAATGGACAATTTTGGGGGAGGAGATGCAATTATTCGAGCCTCGCAGCTCGTTTTTATAGTCGCTGATTGCCAACAATTATGAAAATGAGCCACAAGGCACTAATAATCATATCCCCCCTTCTTAAGTTGTCCATTTTTGTTTACAAACTGGGGGACAATTGGGGAGAACTAACTGTACTTACCAACATCAAAAGGAGAGCAGTAAAAACACCATACGCGTATCCAGTCAGCATCAAATGAATAATTTGTGCAATTATCACGAGCTCGTATTTTGGCGATTCGGTGGCATCGAAAGGCAGGTCCATATTCAAGATAAAAGATCGAGTTTCGCTGAATCGTGGTGCAGATAGTGTAAAAATCGTATACATAAACGTTGTAGCTACGTAGAATGTAAGAATTGTGCTCGACAATCGTTCCGAATTCTTCACCGCTTTCGGTATGACGTTTTGCGTATCGAAACCGGAATACTTTACACGATCTTCCTCCATAGTTGTTAAAATGTCATATAGAACACTGTGAGATATCGTTATTAAAGCCACCAGTCTTCCAAGATGAAACCAATTGGCTCACTGGTTTCATCCATAAATGACTACGCTTGGATATGTACGAAATATCTGAAGAAATTAATCATATAAGTAAACATTAGCAATACCGGAATGCATTGCCCTGTTCTGCAACGAATTCTGCATTTCTTCCCAGAGACAATGACAATGATGTGAGTTGTTCGTTTCTTCTATGGATGATAATGCACGGGGTGAATCTCGAAATTGTAATAGATCGATTTTTCAGTTCGATGAAGGAATAATTGCACAGTTTAAGTTGAACGCTATATGGGTGAAAACTTATATGTTGCTACTGGCGCAATTTTGACTTTGACAGCCAACGATTGAACTCTGAACTCTGTGTATAAGTCAAACACAACATGTGACAGTAGAGATTGCGAACATACACGAATGCGAAAGTAGCAAGATAATACTTTACCTGGCTACAGCAAGTTAATAGTCTCTTAAAAGTGAAAGATGAAGAGTGGCTTTCGCCAATTTGCCAATAGAACATCAACAATTATTTCTTCCAGCAATGTTATTTTAGAGAAAATTATTACTTTGTTCATAAATAACACAGTTAATAAGAAAAACACAGTTACAGCACCATCATAATTAGACCGCTGGATTTTTATTTTTAAAATGCAAGAAAATATAAATTATCAAGGTCTAAAAAGCATTCTTATTTCATTTTTACGATGAATAATTTTAATTAACGAAAGGAATATTTCTTGAAATACCGTATGAAAATGAAAATTTACATGACGATCTGCAGTCTAATGATAATAGACTTTCGATGCAGACGAAGTGTTAAGTCTTAATGAATGTCTTTGTCATCATGAGATAGAAAAATCTGCTGCTTTGTACACTAATGTCAACGATAAACATCAATACGGATCAATAATAAATGGCTTCTGCTACGAAGCAACTCACCCACGATATATCCATGTGACAGCTAACTTGATGATCAGCAAGTTGTAGGTGACAGTAAGACTCAAACAATCGAATAGTTTCGAGAGGCCAGCGGTGTAAAAGTGTGAAACAACATACATCCACTGGAAAATTAGCCAAAGAATCGTAGACAGCATCAAACAGAGTCTACGAATAACCGAAAACGGTGTACCGGGCCAAAAAGCAACGATATGAAGTCCATACTTAATCGATTGGCTAACCGTGCTCCGGAGCATCTCGCGGAAAATTTGTATGTCTGACTCTGTTCTTTTAGATTTCACTTCTCTTTGATACATCAAAGTCCATTATGATAGAGCCTTCGCGATTGTCAGCGGCACGCTCGGCAATGCTTCCTGAACGACGAACGATAAACTGGTAACATTGTTGAGAGAATGGCAGCCCGAAGCGCACACGCACAATCGTCATAAATATTGAAAATCGAAATAATACCGCGATGATTATGGGTTTGTTCCGGACGAGGGAGGATATGTTAAAGTTTTTTTCAGCTTCGTTGCGCTGACAGGCGATTGCCATAAAAGATGCAGAAACCGACAGTGGACAGACAGCAGCATCATATTAAATTAATGTAGTCAGAATTGTCGCATCGAATTGAAGTCTCGCTTGCGAAGAGAAAAACTTCGGAAAATAAAAATCTGTACTTCCAAGGTCTATGAACCTGCAATTTCACGAAAGTTAAAGGGAAACTGAAACGATGGTTTATTTTCTGTTGCAGGATGCCGTGCATGAGAATGGTTTTATGCAAAAAAAGAGATGAGTGTGATGAGAAAGCAGATGGCGTCGCTTAGAAGGAGCATAATGTGAGTTGAATTTTTAAAAATTATTTTATACCCTTGTAGTTAACTTTGGTACGTTAATACGTGACTAAAAATTAAAAATAATTGTGTGAGCAGCGAATACGGGGCACCAAATTAACGCTAAGGGGACACTAAGCGTGACGTGTATGACATGTAAAAATCACCAGGTTGGTTTTACTTAGATGTTGTGCGATTTTTATTTAGCATATGTTCGATTAAAAAGATGTATAAATTATATTTTAAAAGAGCACACCACATGGATTGAACAGTGTTCTAAATATTCGATATAAATTCGGTCATTTCCTTCTAATTTCTCAATTATAGTACACTACGGATGAAAAGTGTAGCAACTTTTAAGACATCGCAAGCAGGACTGACATGTATGACGCTGATGCTTTCATAATCTACGAACACAGAAATCAGAATGATATTATTAAAAGCAATTGATGATTACTGCATAAATATTACAGACTTTATCTGCATTTATTCAGACTAATATTGTTATAAATAATATATGAAAACCTTACTCCGGTAAAGCTATCCAAGCTAAGGGTTGAAAACTTCCCGAAAGTCAACGGCAATCCTTTCTGAGATCTTAGTATTAAAAGTACTAATTGTCGACTGATATTAGGTTGCAATTCGTACCAGGAAACTTGATATGCTGCATCGACAATCATCTGACTCTAACAAATAATAGATAATTTAACACAATGATACGAATTGATACAATTTCGAAAAGAGGTTTTATCTATGCTTAAAACAATATATATGTTTTTTTCGAATTTCCATATTATTTTGTATCATGATTTATTTTGTATGCGATCAGATACATTATAATATAGAAGATTTATTCGAAAAATCATTTGTAACGCGTAATTCTTAATTACTTTAATGTTGAGGTACTCTCCAGCGAAGCAATAAATGAAGATCTCTAAACAAATTGCGGTATAAGCAGAGAAAAATTTGAGCAGTAGTGGAAGTCCGTTTTCTGTTCCCAATGCCTGAAACACAAAATGGTTTTCATTTAGACAGGTATTGCATGTATAGTACATATGTACCAGCCGTTCCAGATACTTCAAGGGGTGGTGTACATGTATACGTGTATACATACTGAAAGATTAACTGAGAGCTCATTGTCAGTTCCACAGGAACTGTTTTAGGACAATCCTATAAAATGAGTTTCCTCGCAGGGCCGTCAAAGTTTAACTATTAGATCCTATTAGGTACTGGAAAAAATTTCTGTGGTTTAACGCTAAAACTACTGACCAAGCAATGTGGTAACAAGAGACTACAATTCAGCAAACAAATGAAGTCTTCATTTTGATGGAATTTGCTGTGTTAGTTTTAACTATTTCCATTTACACAAACTTCTTCAAAAGTTGAGTCTTTCCACAATTAAAATTCTATATTTAATGTAAAACCACAAAATTTTTGTCTGGCGCCTAACAGTTGCGACTTCTTTTTGGTTTCAAAGCGTTGATATTGAAAAAATTAAGCAGGCCAAATACAATATCGGAAAACATCCGTCTGCTTTAGCATTATTTTAGCATTAGATTTACGGAACCCGTCAAAATGACAGGTGACTGATTTGTTAATTTACGATTATTCATATCGTAAAGATACATTTATGTGTTATTTATTCAACTTATATGTTACTTACGACAAATGTTACAATAACACTTGTTAAAAATCAGAATAAATGTATTATTCTTACTTTTATAAACTAATATAAAATAGTTGTCTTTTGTGCTCCGTAAATCTAGTGTTAAAGCATATCAACATTTTTTCAGTGCGATGAACACTTAAATTACGAAATCATGGTCACTTACAGTTATAGCAAGAAATCCTAAACAGCACGTAACTAGAGTGTTCGACAGAAGTTGGCAGAAGGATATGTACGTAAACAGTTGTTCAATTTTCTCCGTGAACAGGATAACTTGTTGATGCTCGATAGCAACGAATCGTAATGATCCTGACCCGTTGGTAGATACGTGCGTCAATACATCGCACAATATGTCAATGACACATCCTACATGGAGTATCTAAAAGATATGGCAGCAAAAGATAATGTTTTACCAATGTGCAACTCTTTTGTCCATGCGATAAATCCTCCAAGGATCTCACCATCTTCTTGCAAGCTTACCATCATCAACAGCAGAGCACTGAATAATCCGAAAGTGTACGCAGCTGCTGTCAGATGGATAACTTGGGCAGCGACCACGATTTCATAAGCCGGAGATTCGTTGGTGTTGAATGGCAGATCCATATTCAAGACGAGCTGTCGAGCCATTGAATCGTTGGATTGTGAGATTAGTAGAGAAGTAGCCGAGTAGCAACATACAGCAGCCAGGAAGAGTAAACCGAGTGTGCTCGTTAAACGGTACGAAAGTTCGGCTGTTTTCGATATGAAGTTATTTGCATCGACAACAGCGTATTTCGCGCNATTCAACTTATATGTTACTTACGACAAATGTTACAATAACACTTGTTAAAAATCAGAATAAATGTATTATTCTTACTTTTATAAACTAATATAAAATAGTTGTCTTTTGTGCTCCGTAAATCTAGTGTTAAAGCATATCAACATTTTTTCAGTGCGATGAACACTTAAATTACGAAATCATGGTCACTTACAGTTATAGCAAGAAATCCTAAACAGCACGTAACTAGAGTGTTCGACAGAAGTTGGCAGAAGGATATGTACGTAAACAGTTGTTCAATTTTCTCCGTGAACAGGATAACTTGTTGATGCTCGATAGCAACGAATCGTAATGATCCTGACCCGTTGGTAGATACGTGCGTCAATACATCGCACAATATGTCAATGACACATCCTACATGGAGTATCTAAAAGATATGGCAGCAAAAGATAATGTTTTACCAATGTGCAACTCTTTTGTCCATGCGATAAATCCTCCAAGGATCTCACCATCTTCTTGCAAGCTTACCATCATCAACAGCAGAGCACTGAATAATCCGAAAGTGTACGCAGCTGCTGTCAGATGGATAACTTGGGCAGCGACCACGATTTCATAAGCCGGAGATTCGTTGGTGTTGAATGGCAGATCCATATTCAAGACGAGCTGTCGAGCCATTGAATCGTTGGATTGTGAGATTAGTAGAGAAGTAGCCGAGTAGCAACATACAGCAGCCAGGAAGAGTAAACCGAGTGTGCTCGTTAAACGGTACGAAAGTTCGGCTGTTTTCGATATGAAGTTATTTGCATCGACAACAGCGTATTTCGCGCAATCTTCCTCCATGGTCGACAAAATTTCACATAGCACACTACGAGATATCGTTATTAAAGCACAATATCGTACATAGAGTTGGAAGCGAATGAAACCAGCATAGTGGTTCTGTCATACACGATCGCTTCAGATACCGTTTAAACGAATAATTTAGCGTAAACTTTTGAAAAAAGCGAAAACTGTTTCAAAAACATATTTGCGAATCCATATGTCTGAACTATTAAATTAACGAAATTCTTGCATCATTGTGTTACGTTACATAACATCAGTCACCTCTATTGTAAATGTAGGACTGCATTAAATAAATACAATTATCCTTCTGCATAAAAATTCGTTGTTTATTCAGATATGCATCAAAATCACACCAACGCTTCGTAGCGAACAATATTTTTTAACTTACCTGTGTTTCGTCCAAACAATAATTAATTTAACCATCGTCATAGTATAGGGCAGAGCAAAACACAAACAGTCAACCATATCTGCGAAGCCGTCAGTTTTAAAATGCGTGATCACGTACTTGTACTGATAAATCTGGCACAGAGTAGTAGACAACACCCAAAAAAATTTGCGCAATCCCGGAAACGGTGTACCTGGCCAAATGCCAACAAAGTGAAGTCCATACTTTACAGACTGACTCACTGTAGTCCGAAGCATCTTTTCGGACACTAACATTCGAGCGTTCGTCTAGGATTCTATTTTTTGTTGATTCTCCTACGTCCATTGTGATGATAATATTGCGTAGATCTCTCTCTCTCTCCCTCTCTCTTTCCTCTCCCTTCCTCTCTCTCTCTTTCCCTCTCTCTCTCTCTCTCACACACGCGCGCGCGCACGCGCGCGCACACACACACACACACACACACACACATACATACACACACACCATCGACAGAAACTTGCGTCAACTTCCTACGATAGATCAAGAACTTCTTCGAAAACTATGGAAAGTGAAATAATAATAAAAGCGATACGCGAGCATTTGTTGCGCATTCGCATGACCTGCATAAATATTTCAAATGATACCGCACTGATTACGGATACACCGGGCACGAAAAAGGACGGGGGAGGATTTGTTGGAGTTGTTATCACAACTTCGGTGCAGCGACGAACGATTTTCGTAAATAATGCAGAAACATGCACGAGTGGCGACATCATGTTAAATTGATTTGATCAGACGTCGCCGTTCAATTTGCGTTTCGTAGAGAAAAAACACTTCTGGAGGTAAAAATGTTTCTACGAGCGTTCATGAAATGGTACCGTCATTGAATTTCCAGAAAAACGGGTATCGTTTCTGTTGCAGGCAATCGAACATAGAAATATTTTTATTTCGAAAACGTGAGTGTCGGTTGAAGTGCGGAGATCATTTCAATGCTCTCAGTGTTAAGTTATATTAACACTAGATTTACGGAACCCGTTAAAATGACAGGTCACTAATTTTTTAATTTACGATTATTCATATCGTAAAGATACATTTATGTGTTATTTATACAATTTATATGCTACTTACGACAAATGTTACAATAACACTTGTTAAAAATCAGAATTGTTACTTTTATAAACTAATGTAAAAAAGCTGTTTTTTCTGCTCCGTGTTAACAATGCTCCTTGCCAGAGTTAAATCTTGCTGTAGTTTATGTTTCACGTTTTAATTGGTACAGATCAAATTTCTAAATGAAAGGAACGATACGATACTTCGTTTTCACTATCTGAGCAATTGATAACGAAATCGATGCACTTATCCTCGGAAAAAGAAATGCATGTTACGGAATTATACATCTATTTCAGTTGAGATAACATGGTGATTTCATTTCAATATTTCATTTACGATGTGTTACGTGTACAACAAGTGCGAGGTTTCTGTTTCAGGACATTGCTAGAAGCACCGACATGTAAGATGCTGAAGCCTTCATGATCTACAAATGTAAGAATATTCAATTACTCATGCTATCATCACATGTATTCCTCGATCGCATGATGAATTGTTCGCTGAGGATAACAGGCATAACCATAAGAGAGAGAGTGAAATATAGAAAAATTCTTACTCCAGTGAAGCTTTCTAGATTGAGTTTCGAAAACTTTCCGAATGTCAGAGGCATTCCCTTCTCAGCTCTTAATATCAACAGCACTAATTGTCGACTAATATTTGGATCTAAGTTGTACCATGGCATCCCATATGCTACTTCGGCGATCATTTTACTCTGAAAGTATAGAGTATAACAGCGTGTGTGAACAGGTATAACACATTCGACTATGTCATACTGTAAACCTTAAGAGAATTTATATAATAAAGGATATTATGGTAGGAAAAAGTAGACTTCACTCTCGCCCTGAACTGTACTGATCTAACTAGCTTAAATTGAGTCCTTTCTTGACTATCACTAAACATATTCAAAATTCTGAAGTAGATAAATTCTTTTTAAATTTGATACTTAATTATATCGCTACTTTCTGTACTTAAAACAGTTACCGAATTCAACACTTTTTTATTTATTACTTTTATATTCCTTTCTTTCTATGCGGATAATACCGATAATACCGTCTGAAACTGTCTACATAATTTATACTATGTATATTTATTATATCCAATGTAATTCGTTTCATGTAATTACCTTAATGTCGAGGAATTCTCCAACAAAACAGTAGATGAACGCTTCTATACAAATTACACAGTAGAACACTATACATTTAATAAAGATGGGAAGTCCATTTTCCATGCTCAACGACTGTGACAAGAATTGAGTCATTATTTTCGTAACATCCTAATAATACTTACAGAGTGCTGTACTAATGGGTAATGCAACAAGGAAAACAATTCTCTACTAACAGAACCGTAATAATTACTCCTTTTTAACTATTTTGGGCGAGTCACTTTACAGATCACATTGTTATGTGTGTTATGCACATTGCACATTCGAGAGTGACAGAAAGAAAAGAATAAAACTTGTACCTTTGAAGTTATTTTTGAGGAAATGTCATTTAGAAATCCGACTGAAGAAATCTGGAATTTTCAAAGACGAGTTTCTTTAATACCTCGTGGGAGAATATTTGAGTTCTATTTCATTTTTGCAGTTAATATTATTTCTAGCCCGATTGTGTTACCCATCCTACAACACCCTGTATGCATTGCACGTACAGAAGGAAATGCAATTGCATTACTTACAATTACAATAAGATAACCCACGCAACACGTAATGAGAGTGTTCGATAGAAGTTGGCCGAGAGCTATATACGTGAACAGTTGCTCAATTTTCTTTCCCAACATAGTGATCTCCTGCTGCCTGCTGATGAAGAATAGTATCTGCTCTTTGTCTACTAGAGATGGATCCCACATTGTGTTGCACAGTATGTCCACGTGACAGCCTATATGAAAAGTCTAAAAAGTAATATTTCGATTAAACATTGTTTCGATGTAATGAGCAAACAGGCCACTTAATTACGATTAAAATTACAATTTCAATCGAACCTATGAGGTACCCGGGTACACGGGTAGACAAAAATTTCCCGGGTACCTGGGAATTTTATAAGATATATAAGATACATGAAATACATAAGGAAATAAAATCGCGTACAACTGCGACTAAAATTCTAATTTGATAATATAAAAATTCAACGATGGAAATAATACGATAAAGTAATATAAAAAAACTTTTTATTTTAAGATATAATTTATGCTTTTATAACTCTTACTTGGTAAATCAAATTCTGTATTTTGATTTTCTTTCAAATGATATGAAAAAATTACTTTTATTTTATTTCTTAAGATATGAAATTTAATTTATTTCTTAAGATATGAAATCGAATGCACTTGAAAGTGTATTAGTTATATTTTCATTTTCATCGGTTGACGGTGATATTTTGTTTACCATATTTGTAATATAAGTTGTAATTTTATTTTTTATTTTAATGCTATTAAAAATTATAAAGGATTAAGAAAGTAAGTTATTCTATAGAATGCTCCAAAAGATACTCGCAAATCGGGAAATGAGAGGTTACTAAGGTCATTTGAAGTTGCTTCTTCCACAGGGACAAATGAGAGGTGAGCTCGGCTAGCACCGACGAAGTACAGTTCCGCTCATTTGCTCTGTCGTCGCAAAGAAGTTGACATCATATAATGTTCATCAACAGGTTACTTGCAAGAGATCACACTAAAGAGTCCTATGCGAATAAACACAGCAGTTTGCACTTACCACCATCAAAAGGAAAGCACTAAAAGTACCGAAGTTGAGGGAGGATGTTACCAGATGAAGGAATTGCGCGGTTATCACAAGCTCATAAGCGGGGGACTCGTTCGTGTCGAAGGGCAAATCCATTTTGAAAAGCAACTCTCGAGTCGAATTACTGCCTTCTTGATATCCAATTGTGCCCAATGTGTAAAGAACCACGGAGACAAGGTGACCAACAGTGATCGCGGTCGTTAATCGAAATGAAAGCATCGACGTTTTCGCTATCAAATTATTCGTATCGATATCGGCGTATTTCTGGCAGTCCTTCTCCATGGTTGTTAAAATTTCGCGGAGCACACTGCGAAGTATCGAGAGTCAGGGTCAGACTCCTTCAGCTATGAGATACGTTTGAATCAAAAGCGACGTCGTTTCTCTTATGCGCAAGCATGGAAAGATGCGCTGAATTAAAAATTTAAACGTCGTCGTAATAAGAAGAGAATGTTGAGTGTCATATAAAATCTTTGAATAAGGAAAGCGTCCTTTTACTGCACTAAACAGATTTTACAAAACAGAATAAATGAACAAAAACATATGTAAATAATTCCTATCAGTGAATTTACTACTTATTTATCTATCTACTTTTAGTACATAGTTAAATAAGCCCTTGATTTTAGAGCCGTTACTTTAGCGTTGCCTCTCAAATCACAAGTGTTTCACAAAACATTAAAAAAACAGAGGTAGCTTCTTTTGTACCGAACTAAGAAAATCTTGTAGTTAATCTTCATTTGAGAAATGATACTAAAGCTTTGTCGGAATTGTTGAAACATTGAAAACAATTTTCCAAATACATACTGATTGCTAAAAAAGACATCCGTCTTTCTTAAGTCACTAATGTTTCTTTAAACATCGTCTCTTTAGTTATTCTAAAAAATATACTGTTTCACAAAGAGAACACGGATTCTGAGTATTCTCTATTACGTTGAAAAATTAAATTTCTTGTAAAAGGAAGCAACATTCGGTGAATAAAGCTTACCCGTGGTTTGTCCAAGACACAATTAATTTAATGCACGATAATGTGAACGCCATAGTGATACTCAGGCTGTCGATAAGTGTCACAAGACTTTCAGTTTTATAGTGTGAGATTATATAATCGTATTGATAAGTTTGTGATAGAGTCATGGCGACTATCCAGAAAATTTTATGTAGACCTGGAAGTGGCGTGCCCGGCCAAACGCCAACAAAATGAAGGCAGAATTTCATGGTTTTGTTGATCGTACTGGGCGATGTCATTTTGCTCGATATTTATTTAGTTCGTCTTAATGATAGCCGTCTATGGACCGCAAAATTCCATTGTCTTCGAAACTTTGCGTTCGTCACCCCCGCGCTCGCTAGTGTCTCATAGACTCTCTGCGATAGACTGTAAAAAATTTCTCAAAAACTATGTGAACGGAGAAGACAGGCGACGAACAGTCCGCAAACTATTTCATGCACATTCTCTACATAAATATCTCAAATAATGTTACGGTGATTATAGGTTTATCGGGAGACGAGGGAAGTTTCGCTGTTGTCGTACTTTAGTCATGGATAAAAAATGTAGACGCAGATGGCAAGGAAAATCGCGTTAAATTGATGGGGTCAGACAATGTATTTGAACTAAAACGTGGGAAAAAAACTATCTGGAAATAAAAATGCCTACTGCGAGCAGTATGAAATTATAATGTCGCCGAGGTACAGACGAAATTGAATTGTTAGTATTGTTCCTGCCGCTGAGGGGCGAGCATCGAAACGCTTTTATATTGTGGAGATTAAGTGCTGACGAGAGAAACGTCAAAACCGCTTTTCGACACTGGATAAATTGAGTTCTTATAATTATAGCAGTTAACTACATGTAAGACAGTTCAGTAAGAATTTACAAGAAAGATCCCTATCCGATGTATAGTTAATTTCACACTTTGGTGCAAAAGGTAATTTTCAAGGATTTGTAAAACGTATTGACATGATTGCTTTCATAATCTATGAATACAGAAATCAAAATTACTACTGGAAACTAACTTCGTATGTGTTACAAATTGTATGCGTAGAAAAGATAAAGTGATTTGCAATCAACAATCAAATAAATTGAACAGAATCTTTTTCCTGGTGAAGCTTGCTAAACCAAGAGTTGAAAAGATTTCAAATGTTAGTGGCAATTCTGTCTGAGATTATAGAATTAAAGCTATCAATGGACGACGTCGTAGAATTTACCTATGTGGATAACTTAGGAGCAATAGTAATTTTGGTTATTTTCTGAATATTTACCAAAATTAATACGTTCATTTACAGATTGGTAATTAATTACTGATTTTTCTCATTTATTACAGGAGTATCATATCACCGCTGTCTAAAATCAGTTCTACGAAAATAAAAATTGTACACGGTAATTGTGAGAAACATAAGTCAGATAAAAATGTGTGTATCTTCTCCTTTAATAATTATAATAACTTCTGTGTAATATAAAAATATTCTGAAGCTCGTCTAATGGCTTTACAGTTCTATGAACTATAGTGAATAGACTGAAGTACAGAGAATAAAATCTATTTAACTTCTACTGAGGCATCTTTAGTCTAGCAGTATCCATTGGAAATTACTTTATATGACATTGTTTCTACGCATCCAGGATTTAAAGTTTGGAGTACAAAAGTGAAAGTACACGAGTAATAGAGTATATATAAGACTACTGTGTTACAATACGCTCAAGCTAGCTGCTTTTACGGTACTGACCCGACTTTGCGCCCCCATTTGGACGATTCTGTCCCTGTGAAAATCCGCCCTTTAAGTCTCTAATCTTAAACTACGACGTTATGGTATCACTGCATTGCAACAGTATCAAATAGACACTGCAATATACATATAAAGGCGAAACAAAATTGGAAAGATCAACAGAATTCATTTTGCACTTTACAAGGGTATGACAAACGGATATATTTAATAAAACATATGTCTTAAAACAATCACGCTGTAACGACGGAAACTACAATTGCTTTTATAGTAGTGTTAAAGCTATGGAATTAACAAATTTATTACAAGATGAATTGATCAAATTTAATAGAATCCAGGAATTGAAAGAAATCAACATGTCACAATTATTAAAGAAAGTTCGAAAAGTTCTCGTTGCATAAATATCCGCTGCCTGTTAATTAGGTTACCATTTAAATGAGTGATCCAGTGCAATTTTGTTTAAAAAAGCGAGATCACTGTTTCAAAAACGTATTTGCAAGATAAATTGTCTGAAATATTAAATTAACAAAGTTATGGATGCCATCATTTTCTAATACGTCAGTCACCTGAATTGTGAGTGTAGAAGTGAATTAATAAAGACAATTAGTCGTTTGCATAAGGATTATTAAAAATATTCCTTCGCTAAAAAGTTACACACATAGTGAACAATGTTTTTCTAATTTACCTTTGATTCGCCCAAATTTGATTCCTCAAATTAATAATATCGTAACACCACTGAGTATCCAGAAAAATGGAAATCATATCTGTTGCAGATAATCGAGCGCAAAAAGAGCAAAGATTATTTCAATGTTCACGGTTAAGTTATATTAGCAATACTCATTGTCAGAATTAGTATCTTGCTGTAGTTCATGATTCATGTTCTAATTGGTACAAACCAAAAAATGAAAGTGGCAATACGAGTAACTCTCAATGTGTAATGGATGCACTTACCCTCGAAAAAACAAATGCCTATTACAGAATTATACATCTATTTCAGTTCAGATAACATGGTGATTTCATTTCAATATTTCAGTTAAGATATGTTATGTGTACAACAAGTGCGAGGTTTCTGTTTCAAGACATTGCTAGAAGCACCGACATGTAAGACGCTGAAGCCTTCATCATCTACAAATGTAAAAATATTCAATTACTCATGCTATCAACACACGTATTTCTCGATCGCACGATGAACTGTTCGCTGAGGATAACAAGCATAACCGTAAGTGAAGGATACAAAAATTCTTACTGCAGTGAAGCTTTCCAGACTGAGTTTCGAAAACTTTCCAAATGTTAGAGGTAGTCCATTATGAGCCCTTAATATCAACAGTACTACTTGTCGACTGACATTAGGATCTAAGTCGTACCATGGAATTCCATATGCTGTCTCGGCGATCATATTGCTCTAAAAGTATAGAGAATGTGTGTGTGTGTTAATAACAATGTGTGGGCATTACATATTCAACTATGTTGTACTTAGAAAACATGCATTTGATTGTTACTGATATTGCATTTGATTATTGTTACTAATCCCTAAAAATAATTAACTTCTATGAGACATATTTGTATGTGCTTTTAAAGTTAACTTCAAATAATAGTGTCTTATGAAAATAACAATACCCAAATAACTAAAATTGTTTCAGTTCTTTAATAACAAAGTTATTAGAAATAGCGAAAATGTTTTGTAAGAACAAATGCATCTGTTATCTATCGTGTGATGCTTGCTCACGTTAAATAGAAAATACATTTTCCGTGCACATAAAAATCCTCACGTAATTGTGGGCGAAACCAACATATTTGTTGCACATTTTGCTAAGGACATATTTAGAGGCAATGATATTAGTGACGTAGTAAACGTTAAGGAGATTGAAAGTAATTCGAGTATTGCGATTAATAAAGAATGTTATGGTAGGAAAGACTTCAGGCACATTCGGAACTGTAGTGATCTGACTAGCTTAAACTGGGTCCGTTTTCGACTGTCATTGAACATATTCAAAATCCTGGAGTAGATAAATCCTTTTTAAATTAAATCTTTATTATATCGCTACTTTCTATACTTAAAAATGTTGCCAAATACAACATTTCTCTATATATCGTGTGAATAATATGAACTGAAACAAAGCGTACTAAGTGTGCATTATTTATGGCTAATTTATGAGATATATATTCTATGTAATTCGTTTCATGCACAATTACCTTAATCTCGAGGAATTCCCCAACAAAACAATAGGTGAACGCATCTAAACACATTACATTGTAGAACATTATACATTTCAGAAAGACGGGAACTACATTTTCGAGGCCCACTGACTGTAATAAGAAAGTATTTCTGTAACATATATGTAGAGAGTGCCGAGCATCGGTGGTACAACCGAGAAAGGTGCGATTCTGCATGAAGAACAAATCATAGATAAGAAATACAATTTTTTGCATTTAAGGCTTCGTTATTGAAAAAATCAATTTTGAATATTCAGCAAGTACTATTGTCATAAATAACACATTATATATTTAACAATAATAATAATATATATTGTACTTCATATACTATACATATATTATACTTCAGCAACTACAGTCTAAATCAGAGCTGTTCGACAAACTTCGCAGCGAGCAAAGGAAAAGCTGCGAGTTAAGGGCAAAGCTATGGGGCAAAGCTACGGGGCAAAGCTACGCGGCAAAACTACGACGGGGCAAAGCTACGGGGCAAGCGTCTTGGCGTGGAAGAGAAAGAGCGAAGTGTTTACGCTTATATGCCATCCTTCCACTCTCACTTGCACGCATTACCGTTATATGCTAATCATCCGAGCTCTTTCTACTTCACTCAATCTTGACGTAACCTACACTCCCTAATTGACACTCAGATTGTACACAAAAATGGACACTTCGGGAAGAGAAGATACGATTATTCGAGTCTTGCAGCTCGTTTTTATGGTTACCGATTGTCGACAGTTACGAAGAATTTACTGTAACATGTCGTTACTGGTGGAGAGTCCTTCGAGGAATGGAGTCTAGAGCTCGCCGATCGGTGTTTTCCTTTACTTTATTTTTAAATTTTGGGATATATGTTGATGTCTTTCAAAAATCAAATTAGATTCTTTATATCATCAATTGAATTCATTATGTCACTCATATTATTCTTAACTTTGTATTTATCTGTGCTATGTTTGTCATTACATTCCAAAATTTATACTGAGGTCTTCATTACAGTTTGGTATATTGTTCTTGCAAGGGAAGGTGGTACAATGATAGAGCTTGTAAAGCTGAAGCCAATGATACCCGATTTGAGGGGCAGGCGACTTATAGTTTTCGAGATAATTAATGTTAAAGTTACTAATAAAAGACCAAAAAGATTGGATAACGCATCGAGGCCTGCGTAGCAGGAAGTGGGGGTGCTTCGCAGGTCATGATCAGGTAGTCCGCATACTTCGAAGTCGAATTTCATTAGATGGTCCATCGTTGATCTAAATCGACGAAAGCCATTTTGTTATTCCGACAAGAATTCTGAGATTTCACGATACCACATTAATCTTTTGTTGACTACTTTCTCACGGAAATACTTTCCTGTAGTTTACACGTTAGAGGCCTATAGTTGCTTGGTATTCTTTTATCTTTACATAGTTTTGCTATTGGAACGACTATCGCTTCTCTCCACTAATTGGGAAATATCATGTTAATCCAGATGACTTTTAGAAGTACCATGAGGTAATTCAGCGTCTTGTTTATGAGATATTTTAAAAACTCGTTTCGAATAGAGTTAAGACCTGAACGTTTGCGCTGTAATGTTTATCTGTATTTATAAAAATTTGTCTATTATCTACTTCTTGATTGTTTTTTATATATTGCTGGAATTTATCATTGTAGTTGATATTACTAGCATTTCTAGTAAAAGATTTGGCCAGTTCATTAGCAATATCAAATAGCTTACTCATTACTTCATTAGATTCATTAATAGTCGTAACAATACAAATGTTTTTTGGACAACCGCTGATTTTCTTGATTTTTCCCAGCACATCTTCTAAAGAATGCTACTATTTATGGAATTTATATAGTTTGTCCAGAAATTCCTTTTTTGCATTCTTTAATTATTCTCCCGGAAGGCCACGTAATTTTTTATAATCGGTTGTTGGATGGTTATTGAAGATGTTGAGATCATGTTTTGCAGTTCTGATTGCTGTTTAGCATCTCATTTCATCATGAAACCGTGTGTTTTTTGTATTTCATGTTGATTATAGGAATAGTTTTGTTTGCAACATCTTAAACAATTTTTGTCAAGTTAGCTGTTGCATCGATGTCATCTTTGGCGTTACTGTTAGTGGGAGGTAGTAACAATATTTCCTCGTTATATCAGCTGACGAAATATTTCCTAATTAGCATTTTTCATACTCCATCTCCGGAACACATATGTGTCCTCAGTTTGATGATTAAACGTGTAGGGCTCGTGGAATTTAGAAGAAAGAGATCTGCAACGTCTAAGATAGAGGAAACATCCTCTTGAATCTCCGCAAAATGAACGGTTTTGGTAGTCGTTCAATTAAACCTAATGAATTGGTTCATTATTTTTGCAGAAATCTAATAATATAGGAAATGATTCTACAAACACAATCGCAATAATTACTACTTTCTTCTAACTACTTTGAACGAATCACGATTTCAAAAATATGTAATTTGGTAATCCAATTGAAGAAATCTGGATTTTCCAAAGACAAGTTTCTTTAATGCCACGAAATTATTTGAATCTTTCCCGAATATTTCGTGCATTTATTTTTACACGTAATATCATTTCTTGGTGAATTGTGTTGCCCATCCTGTAACACTCTGTACGCATTGCACGTACACAGAGAAACGAAATTGAATTACTTACACTTACGATAAGATAACCCGTGCAACACGTAACGATAGTATTCGCTAGTAGTTGGACGAGAGCAATATACGTGAAGAGTTGCTCAAGTTTCTTTACAAACATAGTGATCTCTTGCTGCCTGATAATGAGAAATCGTATCTGTTCTTTGTCTATTAGAGATGATTCCAACAATCTGTTGCACAATATATCCACGAGACACCCTACATGAAGAGTCTAACAAATAATATTTCGATTAATGTGTCGCTGGAATGAGCTGAACTTATTTACTTGATCTAGCTTAAGCAGTATGAGAAATGTCTCTGTCAATCAGAATCTCATTTAAAGTAACTTTCACGGTATTCTTTCACGGTATTTCACGATCAATTTTAGAATTCAAACATTTATATCTAAACATAAAAATTAAAAATAAAATTTGTGTGTAATTAAAGAATGGTAATGTTCAAGGTTATTTGAGGGTCATGCTATTGTACATATGAATACACAAAACTGTTACGTATGTATAAAGGAAACATGAATGACAAAAAATAACACAGCAAAACTAAGGGTGTCCTAAAGTTATTGTGCAAGCAAGAAATGACCAATGAGAGGCGAGATTAGCTGGTACGAGGCAGCCGAGACAATGAGCGGAACTGGGCTTCGACCATTTTTGGCGGTCAAATGTCCTCAGGAACCTCCCATTTCCTGCTTCTACAATAATTTTGGGACACCCTGAATATGTGCGATAATCTGTCCAATGAATGAAAATTTCCTGTATTATATAAAAAGTAAAGGCTATCATACCTTGTCAACATTAAAATTTATACGGTAATTCTAATATATCTATGGATTTTTCACAAAACATTACATTTTTTTAAAATGTTGTAAGTAACAAAAAATGCTGTAAATGTGTTGAAAGATACATGATCTTAGCAATAAAACAACTCGCTTTCAAAAACATCATTCGGACGATTAAATAACAATCATTTTAACAAACATGCAACTTCAATGTCCATTCAGTGAACAAATTTTTCAACGGATTATCTGATTCTATCACAAATAAATTGACCGTATATTAACAAGTTATTTGCAGGATATCACACCAAAAGATCCTATGTGAATAGGCGAAGCAGATTGCACTTACCATCGTCAAAAGCAGAGAACCAAAGGTACTAAATGTAAGGGAGGATGATAGCAGATGAAGGATTTGCTCAGTTACCACGAGCTCGTAAGCGGGGGACACGTTTGTGTCGAAGGGCAAGTCCATTCTGAAAAGCAGTTCTCGGGTCGTACTGTTACCTTGTTGGTACCCAAGCACGCCGATTATATAAAGAGTCGAACAGGTTATGTGAGCAGCCAGGATCGCGGTCGTTAATCGAAACGAAAGCACCGACGTTTTCGCTATCAAATTATCCGTATCGGTAACAGCGTATTTCTCGCAGTCCTCCTTCATGGTTGTCAAAATTTCGCGGAGCACACTGCGAGGTATCGAGAGTTAGGGCGTCAGGGTGATGAGAAGTGTAATGACAGAGTGCAACATACAATTTTTTGTCCAACAAAACGTTTTTTGTATTACACTAAAAAGATTTGAAACGACACCATATAAGAAACCTTTTGTTAACAAACAAAAAACTGAGCGACGTTTCATAATGTTACTACCAGAATATAAAAGATCTTCAAACCAAATTAAAAGAGCTTTTATTGCCAGTAGCATTTAAAACGATCCAGTCAAATATGTTGCAAACCGTTGATGATACTGAAATATGTTTCAAATAAAAGTTGAATAGTTTCAGGAGGCACATAATCTGATGTTAGTAAGATTTTTCTAGGTCAATGCGTAAAAAAAATATCAAGGTCAATTTCATTTTTTTAAATGGAATCACATAATTTATGTATGCATCAATCGATGCATACTTATTTCCTACATAAAAGTATTAAGACATTTATTGTGAGAGATCATTGATATAGAAGTTATTTTAAGTTTATAATAAAAAAAACAGCTAATAAACATTGCATCTGAAATATCGTATTTTAATGGATGTTTGTAAACAAACGTTCGCCTATGCAGATTAGCGTTTATTACTAAACATAAAATATCTTGTAAACGATATATAAATCATATAAGTGTTTCTTTGAAGATAATCCCTTCAATTATTATAAAAATTTACTACTCCACAAAAAGAACACAGATCCTATGGATTCTGTATAACCTCGAAAAATAAAATTTCTTGTAAATGAAAACAACGACATGCTGAATACAAGTAATCTCTATGGAATAACTTACCTTTGGTTCGTCCAAATCGCAATTAATTTAAAGCACACTAATGAGAACGGTATAGCGATAGTCAGACTGTCGATGACTATGGCTAAACGTTCAGTTTTATAGTGTGAGATTATGTAGTCGTATTGATAGGTTTGTAATAAAATCATGGTGACTATCCAAAAAAATTTGTGCACATCTGGGAACGGTGTGCCGGGCCAAATTCCAACAAAGTGAAGACAGAATTTCATGGTTTTGTTAATCGCACTAGGCGATGCCATTTTGCACGATATTTATTTTGTTCGCCTAAATGATCGCTGTCTGTGGACCGCAAAATTCCATTGTCTTCAACTCTTTGCGTTCGTCACCTTCGCACTTGGTTGTGTCTCATGGTTTCCCTACGATAGACTATAAAAAGTTCCTCAAAACTATACGAACAGAAAAGACAGGCGACAGACAGTCCGCAAACTATTTCATGTCCACACGCATGATCTACATAAGTATTTCAAATAATGATGCGCTGATTATAGGTTTGTCGGGAGGCGAGGGTATATTCGCTATTGTCGTAGTTTAGACTTGAATAAAAAATGTAAACGCAGATACGAAGGAAAATCATGTTATATTGATGGGGTCAGGCAATGCAACGATCTTAAAGGAAAGCGTGAGAAAAAGGTATCTGGAAATAAGAATTCCTACCGCGAGCTGTATGAAATTATAATGTCGCCGAGGTTCAGAAGAAATTGAATTGTTAGTATTGTTTCTGCCATTGAGGAGCGAGCATCGAAACGCTTTTATATTGTGGAGATTAGTGTTGGCGAAAAAAACACCGTAATCACTTCGAAGTACTTGATAAATTGAGTCCTTATAATCATTGAAGTTTTCGTGTGATTTGAATAAACAAACACATCACTCGAAATAGTACACATGAAAACAGTTAACGAAGTTTTTATAGGATAGTGCACTATCCGGTGTACAATCACTTTTACGCTTTAGTGCAAAGGGTAATTTTCACGATATCACGAGAAGTACTGACACGTAAGACCCGGACACTTTCATAATCTATAAACAGAGAAATCGAGATTACTAGTGGAAACTGACTTTACATTTGTTACAAATTATATCCGTAGAAAGGATAAAGTAATTTGCAATTAACGATCAAATAAATCGGACAAAATCTTTACCCTGGAGAAGCTTGCTAAACTAAGAGTTGTGAAGTTTCCAAATGTTAGTGGCAATCCTGTCTGAGATTTTATAATTAGAAGTATCAATGGACGACGTATGTTAGGTTCAAAAACGTAATGTTTAATTATGTGGATAACTTAAGAGCAATAGTAATTTTGGTTATCTTCTAAATATTTTGCAAAATTAATAAAACTGTACGTTCATTTACAGGTTGGTAATTAATTACTGATTTTTCTCATTCATTACAGGAGTATCATATCACCGCTGTCTAAAATCAGTTCTACGAAAATAAAAATTATACACAGTAATTGTGAGAAACATAAGTCAGATAAAAATGTATCTACTCTTTTAATAATTATAATAACTTCTATGTAATATAAAAATATTTTAAAACACTTCTAATGTCTCTGCAGTTCTGTTTTTGATGTACTCATTTTTGTCAAGAATGCATAAAATCCACAGTTTACTCATTTCAAACCGATACTGCTGAAGCAAAGATGCCCTAATGCTTGTTCGACGGATCTTATTCTTATTACATAATATGTCACATATTTTTATAAAGTATAGATTATTAGTGAATAAAGTCTATTGGACTTCCACTAGGGCATCTTTGCTTCAACAGTATCTGTTGGAAGTAACTTTATATGACATTGTTTCTGCGTATGCAGTATTTAAAAGTTCGAGTACAAAAGTGAAAGTACACGAGTAATAGTATATGAGATTATTACTTACGGTACTGACCCGACTTTGCACCCCCATTTGGACGATTCTGTCCCTGTGAAAATCCGCCCTTTAAGTCTCTGATCTTAAACTACGATTCTATGGTATCACTGCATTGCAATAGTATCAAATAGACACTGCAATATACATAAAAAGGCGAAACGAAATTGGAAAGATCAATAGAATCCATTTTGCACTTTAAAAGGGTATGACAAACGGATATATTTAATAAAACAATCATGCTGTAACAAATTTATGTTAACAAATTTATTACAAAATGAATTGATCAAATTTAATAGAATCCAGGAATTGAAAGAAATCACCGTCAGTCACCTTAATTGTGAGTGTAGAAGTGAATTAATAAGGACAATTAGTCATATGCATAAGGATTATTATAACTATTTCTTCGTCAAAAAGTTACACACATAGTGAACAATGTTTTTCTAATTTCGTCCAAATTAATTCGTCCAAACAACAATTACTTTCACCATTGCCATAATGTAGGGATGAACAAAACTCAGTCAACCATACTCACAAAGCCATCAGTTGTAAATAGCGTGAGCACATACTTGCATTAACAAATCTGGCATAGATCATTAGACAACACCCGCAAAAATTTGTGCAAACACGAAAATGGTGTGTCGGACAACTGCTAACAAAGTGAAGAACATTCTTCACAGACTGATTCATTGTGCTTCCGAATATCCTTCCTGAAACCAATATTCACGCTTTCGTTCGTCTAGAATGCTATTCTTCGTTAATTTCCCAGAGTCCATTATGCAACTCTCTCTCTCTCTCTCTCTCTCTCTCTCCCTCTCTCTCTCTCTCATTCTCCCATCCAAAATTATTGGAGGTGAAATAACAATAAAAGCGATATACAAGAATTTGTTGCGTCTTCGTATGATCCGTATAAATATTTCAAATAACACCACCCTGATTATGAATACATCGTGCGCGGAAAGGGACGGGGGAGGATTTTTTGGAGTAGTTGGACTGGCAACATCACATTAAATTAAGTTGATCAGACGTTACCATTCAATTTGCGTTTCGTAGAGAAAAATATCTTCTGGAAGGAAAAATGTTTTCTTCAAACTAATGAAATCGTAACGTCGCCGAGTTTCCAGAAAAATGGAAATCATTTCTGTTGCAAACAATCGAGCATGGAAAGAGCGGAGATTATTTCAATGCTCAGTGTTAAGTTATATTAACAATACTCATTGTCAGAATTGGTATCTTGCTGTAATTTATGATACATGTTCTAATTTGTACAATCCAAAAAATGAAAGTAGTAATACGATAATTCGTTTTTACCATCCGAGTAATTGTCAATGGAATGGATGTACTTACCCTCGAAAAAACAAATGTCTATTACAGAATTATACATCTATTTCAGTTCAGATAACATGGTGATTTCATTTCAATATTTCAGTTAAGATGTGTTATGTGTACAACAAGTGCGAGATTTCTGTTTCAGGACATTGCTAGAAGCACCGATATGTAAGACGCTGAAGCCTTCATCATCTACAAATGTAAAAATATTCAATTACACATGCTATCAACACACGTGTTTCTCGATCGCACGATGGACTGTTTGCTGAGGATAACAAGCATAACCGTAAGAGAGAGAGAGAGAGAGAGAGAGAGAGAAATTCTTACTCCAGTGAAGTTTTCCAGATTGAGTTTCGAAAACTTTCCGAATGTTAGAGGTAGTCCATTATGAGCCCTTAATATCAACAGTACTAATTGTCGAGTGACAGTGGGATCTAAGTTGTACCATGGAATTCCATATGCTGTTTCGGCGATCATATTGCTCTAAAAGTATAGAGAATATTAATAACAACGTATGGACATTACACATTGAATTATGTTGTACTTAGAAAATATTGCATTTGATTTGTCGTACTAACAACATACAGACGTTTTCTACATTGGCATTTTATTGTTACTAATCCCTAAAAATAATTAACTTCTATGAGACATGTTTGTATGTGCTTTCGAAGTTAACTTCAAATAATAGTTTCTTATGAAAATAACAATACCCAAATAATTACAATTGTTTCAGTTCTGTAATAACAAAGTTATCAGAAATGGCGAAAATGTTTTGTAAGGACAAATGTATCTGTTATCGTGTGTGGCTCGCTCACGTTAAAAAGAAAATACATTTTCCGTACATATAAAAATCCTCACAAAATTGTGGGCGAAACAATTGTGGGCGAAACAAATATTTGTTGCACATTTCGCTCCGAGCATATTGAGAAGCAATGATGTTATTGACGTAGTAAACGTTATGGGGATATAAAGTAATTTGAGTGTTGCAATTAATAAAGAATATTATGGTAAGAAAGACTTCACACTCGGCCGGAACTATACTGATATAATTAACTTAAACTGAGTCCTTTGTTCACTATCTCTGAACATATTCAAAATTCTGAAGTAGATAAATTCTTTTTAAATTTGATATTTAATTATATCGCTACTTTCTGTACTTAAAACAGTTGCCAAATTCAACACTTTTCTATTTATTACTTTCATATTTCTTTGTTTCTATGCATCTACATAAATTATTAATAATTTATGCTATGTATATCTACTATATCCGATGTAATCCCTTTCATGTAATTACCTTACTGTCGAGGAATTCTCCAACAAAACAGTAGATGAACGCATCTATACAAATTACAGAGTAGAACAGTATACATTTCAGTAAGACGGGAGCCTTGTTGTCGATGCCCAATGACTGTAACAAGAAAGTATTACCGTAATATATACAGCGTGCCCGAGCATCGAAAGTAGAACCGAGAAGGATGTGATTCTACATGAAAAAAAAAAACGAATCGAAGATAAGAAATACAATTTTTTCATTTGAGATTTCGTTATCGAAAAAATCGACTTTGAGTACGCATAGAAGTAACTATGGTTTGAGATCAGGGCTGTTCGACAAACCTCGTGACAGGTAAAAGCTACGGGCAAACGTCTTAGCGGAATGAGAAAAGAAAGAGCAAAGTGTTTTACGATTTCATACCCTCCTTCCTCTCTCACTCGCACGCATTGCCGTTATATAATGTTCGTCCGAGCTCATTCTATTCCATACAATCTCGACGTAACCTACAGTCGATCTTCAGCCAAATATTGTACACAAAAATGGATCATTTGAGAAGAGGAAATATGATTATTCGAGCCATGCGGCTCGTTTTTATTGTTACCGATTGTCAATAACTATGAAAACGAGCTGCAAGGCTCGAATAATTTCCTCTTTCCAAATTGTCCATTTTTGTGCACGATCATAGCGTCAAAGGAGAATTTACTGTAACGAGTAGTTATTGGTTGTGAGTCCCTCAAGGAACTAAGGAAGGGACACCGTTGCCTCGGGAGTGGTGTCATGAGCCTGCCAATCGGTGTTTTCCTTTTCTTTATTTTTAAATTTTAGGGTATATATTAATGTCTTTCAAAAATAAAATTAGATTCATTATGTCATCGTTTAAGCTCATTATGTCACTCATATTATTATTAACTTTGTATTTGTCTCTACTTTGTTGGACGTCGTTACATTCCAATATAATATGGTTTATCCTGAGGTCTTCATTACAGTTTGAGCACTTTGGTGTATTGCTCTTACACGGGATGGTCCTCAGGGTGAACGCTCACTTTTTGATAAGATTTGGTATAATGATAGAGCTTGTAAAGCTGACACCAATGATACCCAATTTTAGGGGCAGACGGCTTATAGTTTTTGAGATAATTAATGTTAAAGTTGCTAATAAAAGGCCAGAAAGACGTACTAGATTACGCATCGAAGTCTACGCGACAGGAAGTGGGGGTGCTTCACAGGTCATGATCAGATAGCCTGTCTTATCGCGGCGTATACTTTGAAGACGAATTTCATTAGATGGTCCATCGTTGATCTAAATCGACGAAAGCCATTTTGTTACTCCGAGAAGAATTCTGAGATTTCAAGGTACCACGTTAATCTTTTGTTGACTACTTTCTCACGGAAATACTTTCCTGTAGTTTACACGTTAGAGGCCTATAGTTGCTTGGTATTCTTTTATCTTTACATAGTTTTGCTATTGGAACGACTATCGCTTCTCTCCACTAATTGGGAAATATCATGTTAATCCAGATCACTTTTAGAAGTACCATGAGGTAATTCATCGTCTTGTTTATGAGATGTTTTAAAAACTCGTTTCGAATAGAGTTAGGACCTGAACGTTTGCGCTGTAATGTTTATCTGTATTTATAAAAATTTGTCTATTATCTACTTCTTGATTGTTTTTTACATATTGCTGGAATTTATCATTGTAGTTGGTATTACTAGCATTTCTAGTCATTAGATTCATTAATAGTCGTAACAATACAAATGTTTTTGGAACTTATATAGTTTGTCCAGAAATTCCTTTTTTGCATTCTTTAATTATTCTCCCGGAAGGCCACGTAATTTTTTATAATCGGTTGTTGGATGGTTATTGAAGATGTTGAGATCATGTTTTGCAGTTCTGATTGCTGTTTGGCATCTCATTTCATCATGAGACCGTATGTTTTTTATGTTTCGTGTCGATTATAGGAATAGTTTTGTTTGCTACATCTTGAACAATTTTTGTGAAGTTAGCTGTTGCATCGATGTCATCTTTGGCGTTACTGTTAGTGGGAGGTAGTAACAATATTTCCTCGTTATATCAGCTGACGAAATATTTCCTAATTAGCATTTTTCATACTCCATCTCCGGAACACATATGTGTCCTCAGTTTGATGATTAAACGTGTAGGGCTCGTGGAATTTAGAAGAAAGAGATCTGCAACGTCTAAGATAGAGGAAACATCCTCTTGAATCTCCGCAAAATGAACGGTTTTGGTAGTCGTTCAATTAAACCTAATGAATTGGTTCATTATTTTTGCAGAAATCTAATAATATAGGAAATGATTCTACAAACACAATCGCAATAATTACTACTTTCTTCTAACTATTTTGGTCGAATCATGATTTCAAAAATATATAATTTGAAATCCGACCGAAGAAATCTGGATTTTCCAAAGACGAGTTTCTTTGATGCCACGAAATTATTTGAAACTTTCCCGAATATTTCGTGCATTTATTTTTACACGTAATATTATTTCTTGCCGAATTGTGTTGCCCATCCTGTAAATACTCTGTACGCATTGCACGTACACAGAGAAACGACATTGAATTACTTACACTTACGATAAGATAACCCGTACAACATGAAAGAATAGTGTTCGATAGAAGTTGGGCAAGAGCAATATACGTGAAGAGTTGCTCAAGTTTCTTCACAAACATAGTGATCTCTTGCTGCCTGATAATGAGACATCGTATCTCCTCTTTGTCTATTAGAGATGAGTCCGACAATCTGTTGCACAATACGTCCACGTGACACCCTACATGAAGAGTCTAACAAATAATATTTCGATTAATGTGTCGTTGAAATGAGCTCAACTTATTTATTTTATCTAGCCTATATAGGAAATTTCATTAAATGTAAGTTTCGTGGTATTTTTTTCACCGTATTTTACGATCAATTTTAGAATCCAAACATTTAGATCTAAACATAAGAAATAAAAATAAAATTTTTATGTAACTAAAGAATGGTAATGTTCAAGGTTATTTGAAGGTCATGCTGTTGTACATATGAATGCACAAGAATGTTGCATATGTATAAATAAAACATAAATAACATTAAAAAGTTGCACTGCAAAACTATATATGCGATGATCTGTCCAATGAATGAACATTTCCTGTATTATATAAAATTTCCTGTATTATACATTGTTAAAATTAAAATTTATTCGGTAATTCTAATATTTCTATAGATTTTTCACTAAATATTACACTTTCAAAAAATGTTGTAAGTAACAAGGAATGCTGTAATTATGTTCAGAGATGTATGAACTTAGCAATAAAACAACTAGCTTTCAAAAACATCATTCGGAGAATTAAAGAACAATCATTTTAACAAACATGCAACTTCAGTGTCCATTCAGTGAACAAATTTTTCAATAGATTATCTGATTCTATCGCAAAGAAATTGACCTTATACATATAGAGATATTTAACAGATTATTTGCAAGATATCACACCAAAAGGTCCTATGTGAATAGGGGAAACAGTTTGCACTTACCACCATTAAAAGGAGAGAACCGAAGGTACCAAATGCAACGGAAGTTGATATCATATGGAGGATTTGCTCGGTTACCACGAGCTCGTAAACGGGGGATGCGTTTGTGTCGAAGGGCAAGTCCAGCCTGAAAAGCAGTACTCGAGTCGTATCGTTACCTTCTTGGTACCCAATCACGCCGATTGTGTAAAGAATTGGGCAGGTTATGTGAGCAATCATGATCGCGGTCGTTAATCGAAACGATAGCACTGATGTTTTCGCTATCAGATTACCCGTATCGGTAACAGCGTATTTCTCGCAGTCCTCCTCCATGGTTGTCAAAATTTCGCGGAGCACACTGCGACGTATCAAGAGTTAGGACATTGTGATGAGAAAAAAATGATGAGTGCAACATACAATTTTTTTATCAAAGAAAACATCTTTTGTATTGCACTAAAAAGATTTGCAACGACACTGTGTAGGAAACCTTTTGTCAACATTGTACAGTTTTATTACCAGAATATAAGCGATCATCGAACCAAATTAAAATAGCTTGTATTGTCAGTAATGACATCAGGTAATAGATATGATGTTGCTATTTTAGTTGACACTTGGCTGTGGGAGTCTGTTTCTTTGTACGAATTATGTTTAAAAATTTATGCAATACAGATTGAAGCATTTAAAACGATCCAGTCAAATATCTAGCAAACCGTTGATGGTACTGAAATATGTTTCAAATAAAAGTTGAATAGTTTCAGGAGGCACATCATCTGATGCTGTCTCTTATACACATCTAGATGTGTATAAGAGACAGGTACTGAAATATGTTTCAAATAAAAGTTGAATAGTTTCAGGAGGCACATCATCTGATGTTAGTAAGATTTTTCTAGGTCAATGCATAAAAAAAATATCACGGTCAATTTCATTTTTATAAATGGAATCACACAATTCATGTATGCATCAATCAATGCAGTTTATTATTTATTGTGAAATTAATTATAACCTTTATTATAGAAATTATTTATAGCCATTTATTGTGAAAGATCATTGATGTAGAAGTAATTTTAAGTTTATAATAAAAAGACAGCTAATACGCATTGCATCTGAAATATCGTATTTTAATGGATGTTTGTAAACAAACGTTGGTCTATAGATATTAGCGTTTATTACTAAACATAAAATATCTTGTAAACCATACATAAATCACAAGTGTTTCTTTGAACGTAATCCCTTTAATTATTGTAAAAATTTACTACTCCACAAAAAGAACACAGGTATTACCTCGAAAAATAAAATTTCTTGTAAGAATAAAAGTAATCTTTATGGGATAACTTACTCTTGGTTCCTCCAAGCCGCAATTAATTTAATGCACACTAATGAGAACGGTATAGTGATAGTCAAACAGTCGATGACTATCGCTAAACTTTCAGTTTTATAGTGTGAGATTATGTAGTCGTATTGATAAGTTTGTAATAGAATCATGGTGACTATCCAGAAAAATTTGTGCACATCTGGGAGCGGTGTGCCTGGCCAAATGCCAACAAAATGAAGGCAGAATTTCATGGTTTTGTTAATCGCACTGGGCGATGTCATTTTGCTCGATATTTATTTAGTTCGTCTTAATGATAGCTGTCTATGGATCGCAAAATTCCATTGTCTTTGAAACTTTGTATTCGTCACCCCCGCGCTTGCTAGTGTCTCATAGACTCCCTTCGATAGACTGTAGAAAATTCTTCAAAACTATATGAACGAATAAAATCAGCGATATACAGTCCGCAAACTATTTCATGTGCACACGCATGATCTACATAACTATTTCAAATAATAATGCGCTGATTATAGGTTTGTCAGGAAGCGAGGGTAAATTCACTGTTGTCGTAATTTAGTCTTGAATAAAAAATATGGACACAGATACCAAGGAAAATCATGTTAAATTGATGGGGTCAGACAATGCAACGGTCTTAAAGGAAAGCGTGAGAAAAAGGTATCTGGGAATAAGAATTCCTACCGCGAGCTGTATAAAATTATAATGTCGCCGAGGTTCAGAAGAAATTGAATTGTTAGTATTGTTTCTGCCACTGAGGAGCAAGCATCGAAACGCTTTTATATTGTGGAAATTAGTGTTGGCGAGAAAAACGCCGTAATCACTTCGAAGTATTTGATAAATTGAGTCCCCCCTTATAATCATTGAAGTTTTCGTGTGATTTTAATAAACAAACACGTCACTCGAAATAGTACACATGAAAACAGTTAACGAAGTTTTTACAGGATAGTGCACTATCCGGTGTACAATCACTTTTACGCTTTAGTGCAAAGGGTAATTTTCACGATATCACGAGAAGTACTGACACGTAAGACCCGGACACTTTCATAATCTACGAACAGAGAAATCGAGATTACTAGTGGAAACTGACTTTAAATGTGTTACAAATTGTATCCGTAGAAAGGATAAAACGATTTGCAATTAACGATCAAATAAATCGAACAGAATCTTTATCCTTGTGAAACTTCCTAAGCTAAGAGTTGAGAAGTTTCCAAATATTAGCAGCAATCATATCTGAGATTTTAGAATTAGAAATATCAATAGACCATTTATGTTATATTGTAAGTCGTACCAAGACATTTGGTATGCTGTTTC